AGAGCGTTCAGAACATTATTTTGTAGCACAGTCATTCAAGGTGAATGTCAAACCTTGTCTCTACTTTTAAGGGACAACAGCCACAGGTACAAAACACAGAAATGTCTCTGCCTCCCCTTCAGATCCACCAGCTGAGTTCACATTTGCTCAGTACTTGCTATGTGACCTGCATGTTGCTAAGTGCCTTATATTTGTTATCTGATTTAATTCATTCTTTCCCATGACATTTTGGGGTGTTATTTCTCTTTGAGAAGGAGATCAACTCTCAGTGAAATTCTGTCCCTGGCCCAAGGTCACACAGCTGGCACGACAGAGCAGAATCCAACCCCTCGCGTTCATTTCAGAATGACAAGATGCCCTTTGGCGGAGGACAGGATGTAACCACTACAGCTCCGTGCTGCTGAGATCCTTTGAAATAAAATCAAGACAAGACTGAAGGTGGGCTTCATTCCACCACCCAGTCCAAGCTTTTTTGCTCTTTTATTTTCTAAACTCTGTCAAATCTCTAGCTTTTCAGGTCAAGTCTCAGTCGTCACCTCCCAGCACAGAATTCCCACCTAAAGATTTTTATTCCTTGTGTGGAGGGAAAGTCACCAGATGTCCTTCCTACTCTCCTGGAAGAAAGGAGACGATTGTAGACACTCAGACTTGCCTGTGGTCCAGCAGCTCGCACTCAAAACCCAGGCCCGCAGAGCTGTCCACGGAGGGGCAGCCTCTAGGCCCTGCTCATGTGGGGTATGCAAATTAGAATAAGGGAGGGGCCACGGGGTCTGCCTGTTTGATATTAAAAAGCACATTTAACAACATAATTGCATATTTTAAAGGTTTAAAAAGTGATATTTGGGCGGCCGGATTGCTCAGTTGGTTAGAGCGCATGCTCTGAACAACAAAGCTGCCGGTTAGGCCCTGCATGGGATGGTGGGCTGCGGCCCCCGCAACTAAATTGAAAAAACAGCGACTGGACTTGGAGCTGAGCTGCGCCCTCCACAACTAAGATTGAAGGACAACAACTTGACTTGGAGCTGATGGGTCCTGGAAAAAACACGTTGTTCCCCAACAAAATTAAAAAAAAAAGTGATGTTTAAGAAAATAAACCACATTATCTCTGGCAGGTCTGTTAATCCAGAAGGCCGAGAGGTATTGCCGCGATACTGCTACATGTGAAGCAGGAAGGCTGTTACTTAGGAGCTCAGCTGGGTCCAGAACTGGGGGCGCTGCAGCGCTATGAAGCACACACACCTGGGGTCCGGCTCCTGCATAAAATCCCCACTCTACCTGCTGCTTGATAGCCCCGGCTCCACACAAACCCACCCTCCACCCCCGGCATCAATCACAGGGCAGCAAAGGGGTCTGGGAGCACCCCCAAATATGCTGGACAGGGAAAGAGTGGGGCTTGCCAGTACCACTGACACTCCCTAGGTCCTAGCCCAGCTTTTTCCTGGAAACTCTCTCTGGGAGGTTCTTGAAAGGGGTAGTGGGCAGGGGGTGCCCACCTGTGATTATTGGGAGGCTATGAGCCCTGTGTCCTCCCTCAGAGGGTCACACCAGCTTTAGAAGGCATTGGGAAGTGTTGCTGCTCTCAGCGCCCGAGTTCGGGGAGCTGAAGGAACAAACAAACGTTTCACTCCCTGCACCTTATTTCTGGTCTCAGACATGAGCTTGTCTAGTTCTCTCAGGAGCTGCAGGTGCTGAGTGACCAGGAGGGAATGTACCTCTGGTTGGAAGTTAATAGCCAGCTGGTGCCCCAGACTCCTCCTCGCTCCAATCGCCATCACCCTGCCAGTCCTCGATAGCACCTCTGGCCCCTGCTTGACTCTGTGGCTCCAAGACAGATCAGAGTGGCCATATGAACGAGGGGCAGCAGGTGAGCACCCTTTGCTAGAGCAGACCTGCTGATCACACACGGCCAGCTCCCTAAGCCTCAAAGGCTTCCCCCTCCAGGCTTTGCAGGGACTTGGGGCTTCTCCCAGACACAGATGCCTGGAAGGTTTTCTGCCTCCAGGAGATGACCAGGAACATGAGAAAAGATGCGGGTGTCAGTCCAACTGCCATGTGAAAATCAAAGGGAAAGCCTCTTTTCTATCAGATCCAGGTGCATGGGATCACCTCTGCTGAATTTTTTTTTTAAATCAGGGGATTCTTCTGAGAATCAAGGGAAATAAGTTCTATGCCTCACCTGACACAGAAACATTACACCTCACTGCTGTATTCTGGAAAAGCTACCTGGCCCTGCAGGCTTAGCATTAGCAGGCTGCCCTGGTGTGTTCTCAAGGACACCTGGTGGGCTGGTTATTGTATGCCTACGCTGGCTTTAACCATAACTGCTTCAGGAAGAGCTCCTGAGGACAGCAGGCCAATTTGGTGGGCTCTCACAGAAACCAGAAAACCAACTGGAAACCACGGCCCCTGCTACCTGATCCTCTCTCTACAGGCCACACAGGAACGATTTCAAAGGCTCTGAGCTTCCAGATCTCACCTACACTTCCAACATCTCTGCCCCAGGGTCTCAGGTACCAGGTGAGGATGTTGATGCAGTGTTCACCCGCAATTATCCCTAAATACTGTCTCACTGTGACCCAAAGCCATGCTGCCTGTGAGGCATGAACAAAGGAAGTTCCACTGGCAGTGAAAGAGGCATGTTGTCAAAGAGCCTGGCAGTGCCAGGGGGCTTCCCCTGCTTCCTGCACACAGTCCCCTAGATCCCGGGACACCGAGGCTGCCCACCCCTCCTTCCTTTCCAGCTCACTATGTGCTCAGTGCTGGTGAGAAGGAAGGATAAAGGAAAGGAGGATGTGCTAGGCTGAATAGTGTCCCCCCAGAATCCATGTCCACCTGGAGCCTCCAAAAGTCAACTTATTTGGAAATGGGGACTTTGCAGATCTAAACTAGTTAAATGAAAATAAGGTCATACTGGATTAAGGTAGGCTCTAAAACCAATGGCGTGTCCTTATAAGAAGGCTGTGTGAAGACACCCAGGGAAGGTTATGTGAAGACAGAGGCAGAGACGGGAATGATGCAGCTATAAGCCAAGGACTGCCAGCTACCACTAGACCCCAGGAGAAAGTCATGAGATGGGTTCTCCCTCAGAGCTTCCGGAAGGAATTCACCCTACTGACACCTTGATTTTGTACTTCTGGCCCCCACAACTGTGAGAAAATAAATTTCTGTTGTTTGAAGCCACCCAATTTGTGGCACTTTGTTATGGCGGCCCTAGGAAATTAATACAGAGGAAAGGAAGAAACTATTTTTCAGAGCCAGATACACATTTGATATGTGCACATACATTACCTCATATAACCCTCAAAACAACTCTGAAGGGTAGATATTATTCTCATTTGACAACGAGAAACCTTGGATTGAGCCAATAACTTGTCCTTGGTCATTAAACTAGAAGGAGGCAGAGCTAAACTCTCTCTTTGTCCTGTTCCTCTTCCTCCTCAGAGCCTAGGAAGTGGGCAAGTTAATATAATAAACAATCTTTTGTTGCTACATCCATGGGACAAATCATCCTGGTATTAAATGTTCATTGTAAGTAGGATTATCCGCACATGGTTTCCCTCCCTCTCCAGTTATAACCCTGTCAATGGCATTTTAGTGTCTAGGCAGATGAGAAGGTATTCCATGGCTGTGCAGATGGGGAGAAAGGACCTCAGCACCCTACAGAACATACCATGTCCATTTTCAAGTAAACATGAGTGTGGCTGGCATAACAAGATCCTCAATGCTGTTCCTCCTGTCACCCAGAGGCAATCATGACTGTCCATTTCAAAGGTATTGCAACACCTGTCAAAGCCAACATCAAGGCCAAACATAATGGTGGTGCAGATGATGAAACTCAGTGACAACCATAATTTTTGTCCATAAGAAATCTCAGGCTATTCAAATATGAGCCCTGTAATGGGTTAAATAGTGTCCCTCAAAAATTCATGACCACTCAGAACCCATGAACGTGACCTTATTTGGAAATTGGGTCTTGGTAGATGTAATCAAGTTAAGATTAGGTCATACTTGATTAGAATGAGTCCTAAATCCAATATAACTGAGGTGTTTATAAGAAGAGGAGAACTTGGACATAGGAACATAGACACACAGGAAGAAGACGAACATGTGAAGAAGGAAGCAGAGGTTGGAGTTATGCTGCACAAGGAATAACTGGGAACTCCAGAGCCTGGAAGAGGAAAGATTCTTCCCTAGAGCCTTCAGGGGGAGCATGGCCCTGCCAGCAACTTGATTTTGGACTTCTAGTCCCCTGAACTATGAGAGAATAAATGTCTATTGTTTTAAGCCACCCAGTTAGCGGTACAATCGATCCTCATTATTTTCAGATTCTGGATGTGCAAATTTACCTACCTGCTAGAATTTATTTGCAGCCCCCAAATCAATACTCACAGAGCTTTCATAGTCATTCATGGTCATGTGCAAAACAGAAAAATCTGAGCTGCCCAACACACGTTTCTAGCTATAATCAGACAAGGCGACGCTTGGCATTCCCATTTCAGTTCTCACACTATAAACAGGTGTCCTTTCTGCAATCTATTTAGTGCTACATTTTTGCATTTTTGTACTTTCTGTTGGTGACTCTGCTGTTTCAAATGCCCCGAAATGTGGTGCTGAAGTGCTGTCTAGTGTTTTTCAGTGCAAAAAGGTTGTGACGTGCCTTACAGAGAAAATATGTGCCTTAGATAAACTTCACTTGGGCATGAGTTACAGTGCTGCTGGCTGTAAGCCCAATGTTACTGAATAGCAATATACATTAGTAAGGGGTCTTTAAACAGACACACACAAAAAACAAGGTTATATATTTACCAGTTGATGAAAATATTTTAACCAGAGGTTCCTGGGAACCTAGCTCTGTATTTCCCCTAAGAACAATGGCTCAGTATTGCCTAAGTCAGTGTTCATGAAGACTTTATAGAACAGAACAACTCTGAATAAGGAGAATTGATTGTACTTTCTTACGACAGCCTTAGGAAACCAAAACAAGCCCATTTCATACTCACCCAGAACCTTGCAGGCCTCTTGAATGAGCTTAAGGGTGATGATGTCATCATACACTGTGTATGTCATGAAGGCATCTTGCACTTCAGCAGAAGCTCTGAAAGAAAAATCAAGGTGCAGTGACACCCCAGCCACTGGAGCTTTGCTCTCAAGAATACCTCCATTGACCCAGCAAGGTATAACGTAGCAAAAACACTCTCAATCATAAGGAATGGGAAGCAGTGGAGCGTTGGGTGTCAACTCCTCCAAGAAACCTTCTCTGGACCTCAGTTTGGGCCAAAAGCTTCCTTCTCAAGTACCCGCAGTAGGCTATGTATTCCCCCAACTTATGTCAAGATTATTGGTTTTACCCCTTAGACTGGACTCCTTGAGCATGGGCATTGGGACTTATTTTTATCTTTGAACCCCCAGCAAGTAGTGCTGTGCTTGGCACATGTTAAGAACCTAAACATGGCAGTGAACTTGGAACTCAGCAATTGCAGAGCCCTGTGCTCTGAAGCAAGCAGTGTAGCTGCTTGAGGAGCTCACTGTTTTCCAATGGGGTTGGCTGTGTTGTAGGAGTTACTGGTGAACTTTGGTCTGGCAACAGCTAACCAAACCTGGTGAAAAGAGGCTTAACCTAGGAGTTAGAAAGCTTGCACTCTTGGCTTGATCCTTGTGTGAACCATTAAACTGTACTGAGCAATTCAGTCACTTCAGGAGGAAGGAGGCTGGGCCAGGACTGGGTAGGCAAAGAAGAGCATTCTGGAGAGAGAGAGAGATGAGGCTCCAAGGCAGAGGAGAGGATGAATAGGGTACAGAACATTTGGTTTTATCCCAGGACACATCCCAGAATCCCAGAATTGGGAGCATTGCAAAATTCCCTAATTGTCCAATTTCCCACCCTATATGATCTCTGACTACTGGTCTTCCAGTTGCCTCTTGAATGCTTCCAGTGACAAGAAGCTCACTCCTCTTCAAGGCAGCATATTCCACATACAGACGGTTTTCTTTGATAGGAAGTTTTTTCTTAGGTTCAACTGAAACTCGCTTCTGGGCCTTACTAACATCTTCTATTTATTGAGCATCTCCTATGACCCAAAAGATGACAGATTATTTCTGACCATCTTTTTTACTATTGAGGAAACTGATGCTCAGAGAGGTTAAGTGTCTTGCCAATCACCCAGTTGACAAGTGAAAGATCTGGGCTCTGAGCTTCAAAGCCTACATGACTCCTACGTTTTGCCACTGCAGTCTCACTGATTGGCCCTAGTTCTGCCCTATGGGGAAATGCAGATCTGACTGGTCCCACCTCCAGGTACCAAGCTCTCTAATATCTGAAGATCCTTATTCATTCTTAAGTCTTTATTTTCTCCTGGGCCAAACTCCTTTATCTTTAGGGAATTCAACTTTCTCACTGTAAAATGGGGGTGATACTACCTGTCCCACATTTCTGACAAGAGTATTGATGAGGATAAAATAGGGTAACTGACATGAAAGAGCTCAGAGAACATGAGAAGAATATCCTAGGCAAAGAGCAGCTGCAGTAATGATGAGGACAGAAAGGTGGCGTGGGGCTAGGAGTCAGGAGACTGTGGTTCCAGGCCTATGCTTGACACAAATGAGCTCAGAGGGAAAAGCACTGCCTCTCTCTAGGCCTCAATTTCCTTATCTGTAAAATAAGGGAGCTGGTGGTGAGATCACTGTTGCTCAACCTCTTTTTAAATCCATGTCCCCCTCCCCGCCACATTCACTGGGTTTTCTGAAACAGCCCTAGAGGTTCTGCCCCCACAGTTGAACATCACCAAACTAGAAGCTCTCTGAGTTTGACCCATTAGCAAGACTACCTGTTTTGGTCCATGTCTGTACAGGGCTCTCTAAGCATCATCAGATGCAGCTGTTCGGAGAAGCTGGATGTGGGCCTAGGGCAGGCAAGAGACACTGTTAACCACCATCACTCACTTAAGTGAGTTGCTCTCGCCATGTTGGTATCACCCTCCACCCATCTCCCCAGGGACTGTGGGACTGTGTGACAATGTGTGTCCTCCTTCTACGCCTATAAGCAAAATAGAAACATGATGAGCAAGACCCAAGTTTAAACTTGACATGTTGTCATAATTTGTTGTGAAGGCCCAGAATGATTATATCACCTCCAGAACCCTTGGAAAGAAACTCTGTGGCACTCACCACGCCTCTGGTGGGACCACCAATTCATCCCTGTCTGGGGCTGGCAGCCTCTTCTTTCCTGTAAGCTGAACTGATAATACTTTAGTGTCAAATGTTTATTTGGTTTGTATATATGTTGCACATTTCTGGAATGCCAGACAAGCCCAGACTGTTATGATTACACAGGGATTGTCAGCCTTGTTTATTGATCTCCATGATCTTGCATATAACACTTCCCACAGAGTCAGTGCACACTTGCATAGATAGTCATTCAAACCACTTTACTGGAACAATATGTTCACCAAGATTTAAAAAAATAAACCAATTGATACCTTTCTAATGGGGTAACAAAGCCTGTGATAAGAAGAAGGGAGGAGAAGAAAAATGACCATCAAAAACAGTTTGAAGAGACTGAGAATTGGAAATGCCACAGATATGGGAAATAAAGAAAGTTTGATGTTTCCAGCTCACTCAAAGAGAAGTGCATTTCATGTAACACAAAAAATGCAACCACATAGGTGGTCATATATACACATGGTCAGGAGATGTGATGAATCAATATTTAACTGAACAGTCAGCCATCAAGTGTATATTCTTTTTTAGTTAATTCTAACTAACGATACCCAAGATATCTGGGCAGGGAACCAAGACTAGGCTGCCTGTCCCAGAATAACTTAGGGAGCGAAATAAACATACAGATTCCTGGGCTCTGGTGCTGGTGTCTGGAAATCTATATTTTTTAACTACTGTCTCAGATGACTCTCCAGGTTTGGAAATCTGCTCAGACCACTTTCTAAGATTCAATATGGCAAAGCAACAGATTAAAAATTATAGATCTTACATTGTTCACCATTAGTAAACTGATGTCTTGGTTTCTAAAAGTCTGGAGAGAGCCATAAAGCCCACAGGAAAAATAAATAATAGTTTGTAGCAAGTTGCAGGCCAAGAAAATGGATCAGTTCCTAGTCATGGGCAATTAATTGTTCCTTCAAGAGCTCCCTTCTGGTAGGTATAACAAACTTGTGTGTCACCATGTGACTCAAGGTGTAGTCGGGAAAGGTGAGGCCCTGACAGTTGAAGGGCTTGTCCTGGTGTCGTGACCATCTGGTATTTAGATGAAGCACCAACTGTCATTCTAGCCAGTCCCCCAGAGGGCTTCTCCAGCTCCCCAAGGCTTCCATTATAAAGTCCAGACTTCCTGGTTGTCACAATCTTGCACCTGCACTGCCCCCTCTCACCTCCAGCCATCTCCCTTATCCACTCTACTCAAAGTTCCTGCAACCATGCAGTTCCTTCCCCACTACCTTCCCACAGATTCTCTTTCCATGGGAAGGGCCTTCACTCCCTCTTATCTGGCTAACTTTTGTTCTTCCTTTCCAACTCAACCTAGGAATCACTGATGTTGGTTGATCTGAGTCACACTCAGATTCAGGCGTCCCTCCTCAGAGCTCCTCAGTCTCCCCAAATTTACCTGTCTTAGTTCTGGCTGCACACATAACCTTTGATTTACCTGTCCACATGCTTCTTAGACTTCAGAGTCCCAAAGAGCAAGCAAATGTCATTTGATTTTACATCTTGATTACCTAGCATTGTAACTGGCACACAATAGGTGCCTGATAGATATTTATAAGAGAATTGAGCAGATGTGAGAGACCTAACTTGACAGAGGCATACATGGTCACTGTGTGTGGGTAAAAAGATCTGGGAGTGAATCCTGGCTCTACCACAGTTGAGCTGGATGACTTGGATCTAATCTCATTGTGCCTTCATTTCTTCGTCTTTACAAGAATGGTACTGGGTTAGGTCAATGTTTCCATAGAGATTTTGATGTACGACCTTCCCCTAACTTCCCCTCCACTCTCCCCAGCCAGCGCATGATGTGATTTGCTGAGAAAGATGCTGGTACTTCAGCCAGCAATTCTCCATATGTGTTCCATGGAACTCCTTGGAGTCCCTAAGATGCTTTTCAGTGTCCATAAGGTCTAAACCATTTTCATAATAAAATTAAGACATCATTTGCCTTTTGTACGGCTTGACATTTGTGCTATGGTTGTACCAAAGTCTTGGTGGGTAAAACTGTTGGTGCCTTCACATGAATCACGGCCGTGGCACTAATCTGTACTAAGTAGACATTGTATTCTTCACTGATACACGCTTGTAGTTAAAAAAGAAAAAAAAAAGCCAGTTTCCCTTCAGATTGCCCTTAATGAAGCAGTAAGAATTGTCAACTTTATTAAATCTTGGCCCTGAGTACACATCTTTTGAACAATCTGTGTAACAAAATGGGAAGTCCACACATACAACATTTCTGCTGTACATAGGAGTGCGATGATCACCTCAAGGAAAATAACTTTTATGATGGTTTTTGTTCACTGAACTAGCCCTTTTTTGCGTGGAACATCATTTCTGTTTCAAAGAATCTCTGACAGATGAACAGCCGTTACTCAGACTTCAATATTTGGCAGACATTTTCTTTAAAAAAAAAAAGAGAGAGAAAAGTTGCTTGTCATTTAAAGAAAATAACTGACAGAATTTGTTGTCAATGATAAAACTCAAGTTCTTGAGTGAAAATTGGAATTTTTGTAAAATTTGCATCTGCTACTATGAGCTCATTAGCTTCCCAATTCTGAGAGGCTTTGATGAGATTGTGGTGATATTGACAAATATGAGTTGATATTGTATATTGTATTATGTCAACATTCATAAGATCTGCATAACTCAGCAAGCCAATATTTTCCAAATGACTAGTGCATGATAGTGCCAAATGATGGTAAAAGACTTATTTCAACATGTAACACAGGCCACAGGATTTTCATGTAACAGAGTGTGCAAAAGCTCATTGGTGTCATCTCCTACTCAACACTGTAACTAATCTTTGAGAAACTACTACTGGTGGAGCTTTCATGAGGTTTAAAAAAAATCTCCACAGTTACCTGAAAAGAGTA